CCCGAGCGGCCACAAACCCGTCTGCAACGCCGGAGCCGGTGAGCAGGAAACGAAAATGCAGCTCAGGGGAGCGAGGAGCAGGGAGGGAGCGAGTTCTTCGGCCCGTGAGTTGTAATGGCGGCTGGCCGCTCTACCTCCTTCTTCTTTCCAGCTCTTCCAGCTCTACCTTTGCCAGCGCTCCTTCAATTGCCTCCCCAAGGCCACCTTCGTGACCCTGGTTTGACAATAAAATAAGGAGCAGTTTTCTATGGCTCGGCGACAAAGTTTAGTTGGTCAAACTTCTTTCCCCTACCGGAGCTAAGGTTCGCTGCAGCTACCATAGGGAAGGATGGTTTGAGCCACCTCACTGGGGCTTCCCCCAGTGTGATGAGGTAGGAGAAAGCTGAGACAGTGCAGGGTGTGGGGTGACACGTCCCCATAGCCCCTGGGTGGGCACCTTTGGAATCACCACAATCTGCCACTGTACTCAGTGATTCTAGCAGTGTGTGTGAAGAGGTCCTATGTAGGGCCATTCTTTCCGCTCTTGCAAGAGTGTTGAGACTCTGTGTCACAGAGGGGGAGTGTCACCTTGGTATTTTCATCATAACATTCTGTTCCCAAAACTTCTAGAAGAATGATCACAGGTATATTAACCTGTGACAAAGGGAGACAAAGGGAGAAGAAGGAGATCATGAGTTAAGAGATCAAGGGGAAGTGGCAAATGCCTGGCTTGTTTTGTCTGTGGCCCTAGAGATTGTGGTTCCCTTTTGGTTGAAAGGTGGTGAGCTTTCTGCATTGTAAAAACCTGCAGCACATATTACGCATGAATAAAATCTTCTGTGGTACCAGAAGCCTTTGCTAGTCTTAGTACAGGTAAAGCATCTTTACTTTCTGATAATTCAGTTACCTTCAGGCTACTGTATAAATGTATATGAAATGTAAATAAATTTCATTTTTAGACTTGGTTCACATCTTAAAGATATCAAATTATGGAAATACATGCAAATACAAGTATTCCAAAATCCCCCCAAAACCCTGAAATCTGAAACACTTCTGATGTATTGGATCCTAACCTTGAGAAATGCAGAAGACAAATCTGTGGTATCATATATCACACCTAAAACTTCTCCAAGCTAAGCAAGTCCACCTTTCGTCATGGTCTCCAAGCTTATTTGTTATCCCCTTCTGAATACATTCCTCATAGATCTGATCTACTTTGGAAATGAGACCAGGTTAATTTTCAGATCTAAAGTTCAGGGAGAAACCAGTTTCTGTTTACATTTGCTATTTGCATACCTATAGTGTGTGTCCAACAGAATGCAAAACAGAGGTACATGCCTATAGAGTTCCTAGAGTGTGACTGCTCCCTGGACAGCCCAACTTTGCTGTGTGTAATATCTGAAACAGCCTTTTGAAGCCTGCATTATTTAAAGCAAGACATCTGGCAATGGGACTATGATTCTCTATGATTCCAGCGAAGTGGCCCCCTCTCTGTAACTCTTATGCAATAATTGTGCCTGTTTCTTCAAACAAACAAGGAAGGAGAAAGCTTCCTCCTGCTACAGTGATTGCAAAATAAATATTTTACTTTTTAAAGTTCTGAATCCATCTTTCCAAAGGACACATGTTATGGTATATTTTGGGCCTTCCTGAATTATTCAAACACTGCAGCCAAGGGAGGTGGGGAGGCTGCTTTGTTAAAACTGAGAACACACAACAAGCACTAATGCATTTCACCACTTGAAGCTTTCTCAACAAACACACCATTAGGGCTGCAATATCCATACATAACTGCTTTTTTTCACTTGGACATTCCACTTCTGGGCCATTTATTGTCAAAACAGACCCCATATAAGCCCTTCTTCATTTATTCTGCTGAGGTGAAATGTACTCCCCTCTGCTTCCATTTATGCTGCTAGAATAAACAGCTATTAATTCTCCCAGATCACAAAATCTTCAGCTCCTGAAGGTTAAATATGTCTGCATGGTGTGTAGCTCTGCCTTGAATCAACTCAACAGAAAGTGTCCAAATATTTGGCTGGTAATGGGGGAAAATGGATGCAACTGATCCATAGCTCTTATGTACAACATCAAAGTATGCGGAGACAAGCAATTATTATCAAGTCAAGGACTAATAACAGAACAAAAGGTCAGGGGGTCCATTAGGAGATGTAGAGAGGTGATGATTCTATCTTGGGAATGTCTTGAGGAAAGCTAAAAATATAATAAAGCATAGCAAAGAGCTATTTTTCTTTTTTTTAAAAAAAAATCAGTTCAATTGTGACATTATGTATCTGTGACCCTGAATTACCAACAATTAAGGTCTGCTGGAATCATTCATTAATGAATGTCAAGACTATCCTTAGCAAAATAAATAAATAAATATCAACAAATTTTGATGCATGCAAAATATTTTGAGATTTTTTAAAATACCAGCCAGAGTCTCAAACTGGTCTTGGGTTTACCACTCTTCAATATTGCACAAATTTAAAACAGCATACTTATGAACAAACAAAATGGGAATGTGGCCAAGATGACAGACGTTATTGATGGAAAGAACTAGAAGTTTGGACAGGCAGCAGCAGTTTGCCTTTGAGGGCCCTTCCACATAGCCCTATATCCCAGAATATCAAGGCAGAAAACCCCACATTATCTGAGTGTGGACTCAGGCTGGATCCAGACAGGCCTGAGTCCACACTTAGGCCTGTAAAAAAAACAAACGTGGATGTTTCTGGGGGCCTGTCCACACCATGCTTTCTGGGGTGGATGTCCAGATGTTCCCTTGGGACTAGCCCGAGAGAACATGTAGAGACCCTCCCCCCTCCCCCCAAGCCCTCAGACTCCTTAGAAAAGTAATTTAAAAAATTACATGGCCTCCATTAGAAGCCTTGGCTGGCTCTCCTGGCATGCAGAAATGATGCACCAGGAAGGGGGGGGGGGGAGAAGGAAGCAATTTTCCTTCCTTTCCCTCCCCGCTCTCCTGGTGCATAATTTCTACATGCCGGGAGAGCCGGATGAGGCTTCTAATGGAGGCCATGTAATTTTTTTATTAGTTTTCTAAGGGACCTGGGAAATACAAGACTGTTATTTCCTTTCCCTCCTTCTTGAGTGCAATTGAAGTAAGAAAGTGAAAGGAAAAGAGGAAAACTGTGACATTTTAAAAAAAGCAGTTGAAAAAGTGGGGTAATTTGAGTATGTGTCCACAGAAGTCCCTCCACCACCCCCCTCCTATGTAAGCATAGCAAAACACACAAACAGCAAATTTTCAGGAATGTATGTTCTCCACTCGTCTAAGATAGCATATTAGTGTTAAAAATGAAAAAAGATGGTGTCGTGCAAGAAAACCCTACTCCTCAATACTGTCAGTTGGATTTTAGGTCTACAAATCTGTAACCGGGATGGGGAATTAGATTCAGCCTACCGGCTATGCTCCATTTTAAAAGAATCTACCAGGACCCAATGCTTCAGCAGTTGATAGAGCCAAGAACATGTAGAAGGGCAACAACAAAGTTATTACTGCAGACAGAATCCACATCAATTTGAACACTTTACCACCATGCATATGAATGTCTATTCAGGCCTAAGCTGAAAATCCAAAGCTTTTAAAAGACAAGTCTGATCATGATAATGAGTTATATGTTGCTTTTTTCATAGTCCAGGGTATCTAGGCAGCTTGCAAAATTTAAACAGATACAGATATAAGCTCTCACTATTATAAACATTGAAAATTAAAAATATTTTAAATATATTTCAAATGTACACACATAGCCACATCCAAATGCAAGATCAGTGCGGTGTTATTACAAAGCCCTTTCCCATAAACAATCAGTTCCAAAAGATCTATTGAAATTAGAAGCTTTTTACCTGGAAGATGATGGTGTAGGTCAGTATAGTTTTTCTAGGATGGGAGTTTGAGAGCCTGGGAGGTTACAAAGAACTCCCTCTCTTACATTCCTACCTGATATACTTGTAGGAGTGGTGGGATAAAGGGGAGACCTCCCCTGAAGATCTCAAAACTCTGGCAGGGAGTATATGGTTTTTCACATAACCCTGACCTGAGTTGCATAGGACTTAAGGGATCACAGCCAGCATTCTGAATTGTTCTTAGAAAAATCTATTTATTATTTGATTTGATTTATATACTGGCTGTCTCCATGGATATGGCTCAACCCAACTATCCACATGTCAATAAACACAGGGTCATTCCAGAATTTCCTGGAGGTTCTGGAGTAATTTATGACCCCTCTTGCATGGAATAATGGCTGAGAGCAGTGCTTCTGCTGAAAACCATCTGTACATCATATGGACGCCATACAGCAGCTGCAATATGAGTCTGTTTTAATTGGGATGTGTAGACACAGCCAAAGGGATTAATCAGATTTCAAGAGTGTAGCATGAAAGTGAAGGGTCCTCTTGAAAATCTCAAAATCCAAGCATATTCCAACAGGAAAATACTGTCCTTCCAATACGCGTGATGTATATTTCTTCATACAACTCAAGTTGAAAGCATTTCACTTTTAAAAATGACTAAAACATCAGCAGTAAAGCTAAAGTAATATATCATGACCCCTGAATCATAATGTAAAAACCAGTTGAAAGCAAGCTGATAATATCAGACAGTACCAGATAATACATCTATAAATTCAATGCGTAAAATCAGTAAGTCAGCCAATAAATCCATCACAATGTTAAAACCTTCAGCACTGAGTCATTTCAACGAAAATATCTGACTTAATATTTTTAACTCTTATAACCACACTATTCTTGATTTCTTCTGCTAACAGGCACTCTTCTAAAAACCAACATAGTCATTGGTCAATGCCCACAGTATCTCTGAAGGCACTTAAAAACAATTTTCTGTGGCTGATATTTCATCAGATATAACTACTAGTCACTGAAGAATTTCTATTTAAATATCTAGGGGAAAGGTATTAAGCAACACTGGGGAGGCAACACCTCATCCAGTAGGCATAAATAATAGTGAAGTATGAAATGCCCTCCAGAGTTTAGGGAAACAGAGTTTGGGCAGGATGAGAATCTTCGGGGAAGAGCAGGAGCTGACTATCCCTGCTCAGCACCCACTAAGATCTGAAAAGATCTAATCAGTTGGCCCAGAAGAGGGCCAACAGATGAAAGGACCTTAGTGAGTAGCATAAATAGATGGTGACTATAACAGCTCTTTTGCTGGGAGTAATGTTTTGTTGGAGCTACAGCTGGTATTTTTGTTGGTGATTTTGGCATGAACATTGAATATGGTGTTTGGACTTAATTTGGCATATATCTTAGACAGTGGTGAGCTTATGGGTCATTGATTCTTTTGGAATGGACTTTGACTATTTTCTTGCTTGACCTTTGTTGTGGACTTCTTACTGTGTTTGATTCTTTGACTATGAGATTGGAGAGTAGCTGTCAGGGCTCTGACAGGAGATCCCTATAGATGACATCTTTGCAGCCCATCTAGCTACTGAGAAATAGCCATGTTTAGGGAAGCTGCATTACTTGAATTAGGGTGGGGGCAGTGAGAGGATATCCCCAGAAGACATATCTACAGAAACATAGAGCCCACCCACAAGCAGAATTATAGCATATCTTTGACTGCCATGTCTTCATCTAATGGAATAATTTGTCATTTCTTGTGGCACCAGAACTCTCTGACACAAAAGGTAAATTCCTTTCAAAATTACAAATCCTATGATTCCATGTCATCAAGCCACGGTAGTTAAAATGTGGTGTTTAACTAATGTAATTCAGTATGCATACAACCAGAGTTACATGAACTACATCTCCTGATGCAGGATTCCAACTATGGTATTTAAAGGTTGAATTTTTAGGTTCCTGAACACACTGTTTACTTGCAAGGCCATTCATGCAGGGTTCTTGGTTATCATGAGATTAACCATGAAGAAGGCAGAGTTGTCTGTAGCTCTGTTTTAAATTCTGCCTAATGCCTTTAATTAATAGCAACTGCTGATCCATTATGCAATACTTTCTGTGAAACTTTCTGCCAAGAAGAGAATCTTTAATTACTTCAGCAAATGACATTAGCTGTTCTTTCCCATTCCTTTATTACGATTACTGTTTCAGTGCCTTCTGTGTGCAATATGGTTCTCCCCTTAACTGCTTCTGTTTTATTACTCTTTAAGCTAACATGTCCAGTATTTGGGCTGCAACAATGTTTTTGAAATTTGTGTGGTTATACTCATGATTGACTAGTAACCATCCTGTAATACTTTGCCTTTCAGCTTGTTAAGTCTTTGGAGACATGCAGAGATATTGAGCTCGTATGGTGTAGTGATTTGAAGGTTGAACTAGGTGCTGTGTTTTGATTGTTGGCCTAGGATTCTAAGAATGGATCTACACTGCCCTATGTCTTAGGATCTGATCCCAGATTATCTCAGTTGAGCTGGATTATATGAGAGCCCTTCTACACAAGTCAAAACCCTGGGAGTCGGTCGCCACAGACCCAATACCTGGAAAGATCCCGTCCTTACAGTGAAGATTGGATCTTTCTAGGTTTTTTATTAATCTGAAGTAATGTGGGAAATCCCAATTTACCCTAGATTAATCTGGATTAATTTGGATGCCTCAGGTTAACCCCAGGTTTAGGGCCTATGTAGAAGGGCCCTGAGTCTGCACTGTCAGATAATCTGGGATAAGATCCTAGGATACAGCACAGTGTAGATCCAGCCTAAGAGACCAGGGGTTAAATCCCCACTTGGCCATAGAAACCCATAGGCAGTTCCCAAATTATGAAAAGGTTTTGTAGGTTTGTTCTTAACTTGAATTTGTTTGAAAATTGAAACAGGTATATTTTAAGTATAACTCCAGCCACACACACACACACACACACACACAGAGAGAGAGAGAGAGAGGGAGAGAGCGCTTTGGATAGCACAGGGAATGGGTAACATTTCTGTGCTGTTTGTTTTGCTGTCTGTGCCCCTGTTCAGACGATTTCACTTCACTTTCTGTTCCTGTGACAATTGGATTTTGAAAAATGTGGCTTGTTGTGGAAACAAGGATTGGTGAGAAAGCTCCTTAAGATAACTCTTTCAGGAGTGAATATCCCTTCCTAGGAATAGATTTCTCTCACTTCCTGTTGTCTCACTCCTGTTCTTATCTATGAGTCATTTGTAAGTCAGATATTTGTAACTTGGGGACCGCCATACATGCTTTTAGAGGAAGATGATAGTAAACCCCTCTGGGTGTATTTTACCAAGAAAATGCCATCATAGGTTTGCTGTAGGGTTGCCAAAAGTCAGAAATGACTTGAAAAAACATAGCATTAACAACAAAAAGCAATTATAGGTATGCAAATACAAAAATGGTGGGAAAGAGAGAAGGGAAAGAAAATATACAGTTAAGCCTACTTATTATATGAGGGAACCGTTCAAGGACCCTTTAGGTAATACATTTTTTTTGTGTATAATCTGTATCCCTCTGCGCCCCATCTAGAATGAATGATATCTTAACCATTCAGCTAAAACATACCATATCCAGGAGAATCTAGCGATGCCCACAGAAATATTCTCTCTAGCCCTCCAGTCCGATTCTCTGGTTAACCTTTGGTGAAACTCCCAAATGAACTTCTTTTATTTACTATTTATTTAAGATGTTTTTCAAAAACAAAACATTGACCATAGAGTAACTTTGGAGGCATAGTGAGAACACATTATGAGGTCCTCCTGTATGATTCTGTGGTATCCAGAGCTTTTCACATATAACTGAAACTGTTTGCATAATAAGTGGGCCTACTGTAGATCTAAACACGAACATGTGGTTGTTAGAGTCATAGAATTAGGATTGGAAGAGACCACATGGCCATAAGTCCAACTCCTTGGCATGCGGGAAAAGCACATTCAAACTACCCCTGACAGGCAGCCATCCGGCCTCTGTTAAAAAGCCTCCAAGAAGGAGCCTCAATTACACTGAGGCAGAGAGTTCCACTGCTCAAAAGCTCTTAGAGCCTGTTAATGCAGGATCATGCTGTTTGAAGCACTAGAAAAGAGAAGATTGAATCACATTTTGACTAACCAATGTAATAATGTCCTCTTTTTCCTCCTCTGCTTTATGTTTGACTTGGAAGGCAAGTGGAATTTTGCTGCAGGTCTCTTTATTGCATGTTCTTACAATATTAAAATTGTAACCTTAATGTGGGTGGTCCTTCCTTTTAGCTGCTGCATCTTAATGATTCCCTAACTGTGCATGTAGGTGAAGTGGCAGAAACCGAAATGAATGTAGAATTGACTATTTCCCTGACATTCTCACATTGCTTAAAATGTTTTTCATATTATTCATTTATAAAAGAGTGGAAACATTGTTCCCATTGCTCTCAAATGAGACATTTATCCACAGGAGGGGAAAAAATAGTCGTTTGCTTATTTGTACCAGAAAAATGTTCCATGAAGCACATGCAAATGATCTTGGTAATCAAATATAACAGTACATATAACAGTAGTTGTTTTGTCACTGCTCCCATTTGTTTCTTCCATGATGTTTGCCAGGATAGCAGCTAAAAGTCTCCAGAGCAGGTCTCACGAGGGGAAGATTAAATGTGTGTGTGTTTCCATAAAACAATGACATCTTGTTTTCAAAGCCCTGCATGGATATTAGAGAGCAACCCAGGATAAACTATAGCTTTCTAGGACAATTGTTTAGTTTAAGTGCCATTTAATGTTCTCTTAAATGGTTCTGCTGTTTGGTGTGCAATATATCTTCTAGATTAGACCTTTAATCCTGAACATTTCAGCATCAACAAGGGAGCTGAAGCCATTTTCTCCTTACGGCGGGTCTCTCTCTCCCCCACAATTCTCTCCCTCTCCATCTTTCTCTTTCTCTTTCAATAGGCATATGAAAGACATCAAAGTCCTATGTTTTGCTTCTTGGAAGAGAAGCAGAAGTTGAGCTTTTCCTGAAGAAAGGCCTTGCGAAGTTTAAAAGTCATTCCTTTAATTTATCGTGCTGAATTTTATAAATCTCATAAAAGCCACAAGGAATATATAGAAGGAGCTGAGAAAGAAAAGATGTTAAAAATTCTATAAGGGGGAGGGGAGAGACAAGATGGCACAGCCTTATCTAGCAAACTTATAATTCTTGTCAATGACTTCTATAGTTCTGTTGAGTGATTTTATCCAAGGAAACAAAATAGAAATCCAAGGAAGAAACAGAAAAAAAAAACAAAAACAAAAAACAAACAAACAAACAAACAAAAATCCCATTCTGGCTGAGATCCTAAATGTTAGGAGCAAGAATGACTGCCAGTGTGGTGCAATGATTTGAATATTAGATTGCAATTTTGGAGATTGGGGTTAGATTTCTCCACTTGGCCATGGAAATACAATGGGTTTCAGCCTCAGAAAACCCCATGATAGGTTTGTCTTAGAGTTGGCGTATGTTGGGAATGCTTTGAAGGCACGCAACAACAATAAGCTAGCAGGAGTGTAAGATTAATTTTATTAGACAGTGTTGCAAGACACTTGCAAGAGGTAAGTGGGTTTGAGGTAGCTCCAATGGAGCTACCCGCATTTTTGGGTTCTTTTCTTTGCAATGGGAGAAAGGCCAACATGGCAATGTGCATTGCTGCCCTTTCTCCCATCTGATAGGGACAGGGTACCAACATATTTTGTCTTGTCCTTCACATATGATGGGGGAAGGAGGAAGGGTGTGCTAGGGCAGCCTTAGGTACTCCGTGGCACTCCATGCACCTGCCGTTTTGCTAGCGACTGCAGGGAAACGACATCTGATATGGGTGGGATATAAGTGATGTAAATAAATAAATAAATAAATAAATAAATAAATAAATCTCCCTCTCCCAATGTGTGAAGAGGTCATATATCAACTTGAAGATTGAGGCACATATATTCTTTTTATATTCTTAACAGTTCTAGATACAGATTAGATACAGATCACACAAACCTCGAGCATTGTATTGATCCAATGGGGGGGGGGGGGAATGGATGAATAGACTTCCAATATGATAGAATATGGGAGGTAAGAATTTTATTTATCTATCTTTGTGTTTGATTCATTAATTTCYGAGTATTTTAGGCAAAACTATAAACATCCTCATAACATACTAGATAGATTACTGCACTTCTTTTGATCTGGGACTTCCCTTGAAGATCCTGAGAATGCAGATAGTAC